TCTAAGGGACCCCTGCCATGTCTCCACGCAAGGCTTGTGGAAAGTGGCTGGCTTTTAGGTGAGCAAAGCCAGTGAAGCCCCTGGTGGTGTGGGATTGGCATGGGGGAGCTCTCAGATGTGCATCATAATTATGGGTAGAGTCCATTGCCCAAGGTAACCAGGAGTTTTTCTCTTCTCCACAGGTTCCACGTGCGCTGAAGATGTCAAGAGCTGTTCATCATCCCCTTGTCAGAATGGAGGGAGCTGTGAGGACTTGGGAAGGGGATACCGGTGCGTCTGCCCTCAGCAGCCCCTAGCCTACATGGGCACGAACTGTGAACTCCTCTATGATGCGTGTGCTGTGCACGCGTGCTCCACCAATAAAACCTGCCGCACAGTGCGAGGGCTCCAGGAGTATGAATGCATCTGCAGGGCTGGCTTCACAGGTATCGACTGTAGTGTTAATATTAACGAGTGCGAGAGCAACCCTTGCAAAGAGCCGCATTTTGAATGTGTAGATAGTGTAAATGGATACACCTGCCAATGCCAAACAGGACTGATCGGAGAAGGCTGCCAAACAGCGATCTCTCTGTGCTCTAGCCATGCCTGCCTAAATAATGGGACCTGTGTCCAGCGTGCTGAGGATTATGTCTGCTTCTGCCCACCTGGCTTCACTGGGGACCACTGTGAGCACGACGTCAACGAGTGCGCCTCCAGCCCGTGCCAGAATGGGGCCATCTGCCGGGACATGGTGAACGAGTACAAATGTTTCTGTGTGCCTGGGTTCCAAGGGTACCGCTGTGAAATAGATATCAACGAGTGTGCATCCCGGCCCTGCAAAAACAACGGCACCTGCCGGAACGAGAGGGATCACTATATCTGCGAGTGCGTCCCTGGCTACACAGGTACCTTCATGATCGTGCATTTGCCTGTCGGGGACTGTTGTCTTGTTTGTGCTGCTCCAGCTGGGCACCTGCCCCCACAACCCCAGAGAGTTTCTCATGGCACCTCTGTGTTACAGTGGTGGGGCTAAGCTACTGTCAGGCAGTGCCAGGTAGATGCCTGTACTCCAGGCTTGCTGTTCCTGGGAAAGAGGGGTTTGGATTGCAGGGTGGATCCAAGGGTCTTGTTCATGCCCGTCTCTGGTATCTTGTAACCCTGCAAACAGAGACCTGCCATGTTTAATAGGAAAGCTCTTCCCTAAACAAGTCCACCCTCCAGAGACGTGATGGCATATAGGCCCAGACCAAGAGGCTTAACTTCCCTGGAGCCATATGGAATCGGCAGTGTGTGACATGACAAGGAAGTGATTGGCTTGGATGAGGGCGCGAGTAATGGAGAGGCACAGAAACATGACAGTCCTCGGGATGTTCAGGGGTGCAGCTAGTTTTTCTAAGTCAGGCCCAGGGAACTCTGTCCTGCCTTAAAGCATTTCTCTAGAGCAGGAGTCCCTGGAGCAAAGTAGCTTTTAGTGGTAGATTTGTTCTTCTGACCCCTTTAAGTCCAGAGAGCATTTGTTTTGCCCATGCCTCTGACTAGCTCGCCCTGGTGCATCCATGTGGTGGTGGTTTGCTGTGTCACCTGCACCTGCGAGCAAGCTGCGGGGCAGCCGAGCAGAGCAGAGCGAGGGTCTCCTCTCCCCCGCCGCGCCATGGGAATGGAATGTGGCCGTGATGCACTTGCCTCCCCCTGGTACCGGCCAGCACACGACCTTTCCCAGCCTCACCCGTTGTCCCTGGCTGGGCTGTGCAGGAGTTACGTTACTGTAAAGGAATGTGGGGGGTCACTGGGCCGCAGATTACAAGTGAATGGGGAGATGTTGCAACCTCAGGCACGCGGCCACTGCTGGAGCTGCTCTCTAGCGAAAGGAACTGCGGGGTCAGAGGGAAAGAACCTGCTCAGCAACAGATTGTCCTTTTAAGGTTTAAAATACCCCCTGATTTAGAGTATAACATGGAACTCAGCATTGGTGAGCCAGTTTCCCATTCACTTCCCTGCAAAATCCTGAGGTCAGGAGGATTGCTGGCTGCAGGAAGGGGCGAAAGCAGCTGGCGGTGCTGCAGGAGCACACAATGTCCCAAACACGAGGCTCTGCATCACAACCTAGGTACATAGTCCTGGTTCAGCAGACTGAGCGGTTCCTGGTGCGACCGGCTGGAATTTGAGCGAAGGAAGTTTTGATGTGAGGATTGACGGGTTTTGATCCAGCAGATTATGGGGCCTACATTCCTTTAGGATTAGGATGGCCCTGTCTGCTGCATGATGAGTCTCTGCCAAAAGGGAGGGTTAGGTGGATTGGCAGGTGCCATTCTAGTGCCGTTCTTGGAGAGGTGATGTCAGGCCACGGGCAGTTTACGGAAGTGGGAAAAAGGGCAAGAGGGTCTTTATGGGAACTCCCATTCCATTGCTGGAGCTCTGGACATTAGGGAAAAACAATGGATGCCTTACTGCCAATAGCGCAGTTATAGTAATTCATAGTGCCATGACCAATTGCAACAGGTAGCATGGCAACTAGCACCTTGTACTTCTCTAGTACTTGTTTCCTGAGGATTTCAAAGCAAGTTATAAATATTGCTTAACCAGGCCTTTGAACGGTTTCTGGCATGGGTGTATAGGCATCCAGAAATCACCTCATCAGCCACTGAAACCTAATTACCTCTGGCTAACAGTACTGAGGGACAGCAGAGATGAACGCTCCCTGGCTGAAACGGGGGAAGGTGCAGTAGGCAGACAAACTGCAAAGCTCTGGGCTGGACGTTAGCCACGAGATTGTGATCAATGGCCAATTTTTCCCTCCAAAATGCCATCCTGGGATTTTTTAATGAATGCAGATGAGCAGGACCATGATTTATGCCTCAGTAATTCAACAAAATGGAATGAAAGTTCGTGCTACAGCGGCTAGAGATTGCCAAATGTCACAAAGCATTTCTAGTGTTATTGATGTCAGAGGTCCATGAAGCAAAACCCAGAGGTCTTCCCAAGACCGCCTTGGCTACAAATACTAATTAAGGGCCCTTGATTTACTTGCGGGCACAATTGCTGCCCAGGCACTCCCCCAGCTCTTACAGTGACATTTATAAATAGGTCTCTGGTCCAGCAGATTGGGTTTAATAGAGGTGCTTTCATAATCTCTGCCCAGAAGTCCAGCTGGTCCGAATTCTCCATGCCAATCCCTAACACGGATTATTTCTGTCTTTTATAATAAAGATGTAAACTGTGATGCTGAAATAAATGAATGCAACTCAGACCCTTGCGAGAACGGGGGCACATGCAGTGACCACATTGGGTTCTTCACCTGCACCTGTGCGCCAGGCTATGAAGGACTCCAGTGTGAGGTGGACATCAATGAATGTCTCAGCCAACCATGTCACAATGGCGGGAAGTGTCTTGACCTAGTTAATAGGTAAGATGTATGCTGCTTTGGCTGTTTGTGTCTGGTGATTAGATAGCCCAAATGAATCAAAGCCCTGCCTGGCATAATTCACTGACTGCAGAGCAATCAGTGCTGGGATGATTCGGGTTCAGTATTCCTGAAGGCTTCCCCTGCTGACACCATATGCCCATTCAGTGTCTTTGAAGCTAAATGGCAGTGACTCCCAGAGATGCCAAGAACTGTTTGCCAGTTCAGTGGGTGGCTGCAGGTGGTATGGAAGGAGCTGCCCATGTCTCTGAGCCTTGCCTTTCGCATGCAGCGATCTCCTATGTGTGGAGACAGAACTGCTCTTCTCGCAGCTTGTGGGAGGGCCTGAGGGTTGGAGGCATCACCCATAAATCTCTTTGCTTGCCCTTCAGAAAGGGCTGCACTTTGCCATTGCAAGCTCTTGCATTGTTGTATTATCTGTCCTCCACAGCTACCAGTGTGATTGCAGTGACACAGGCTTTGAAGGGGAGCACTGTGAGCTGGATATCCTCGAGTGTGCCTCCCAGCCCTGCCTGAACAGTGCCACGTGTCTGGAGGGGGTCAAGAATTATAGCTGTGCCTGCTGGCCAGGTGGGTAGGGAACTAACTTAGCTCCCCTAGCACTAGAGCCTTGCCTGGTGAAGAAGATCTGGAAGGCTGCCCCCAAGGCCCTCAACAATGCTGATGCTATCCTGTGTGGTCCAGTTTAGTTGTCAGCTCCCCAGGCAGTGGTGCTCTTGCTGCTCCCCTTGGTGCACAATCTAAAATATCCCAATTCCAGGCCTTTTCCAGCCTGTTGGCTGGCTCCTGGCTCCCATCTCATTGCTAGGGGAGTACGCTGGGCCTTCTGCTTTGTGCTGAAGGCAGCGTCTCAGGCCCTTCATCACAGCTGTGGTGTGTTGGTGTCCCTTCCAGTGGAGGCCTGTGTTGTCTTAGCCCTGGTGTCTGTCTGGCAGGTTACGTGGGGCAACGCTGTGAGGAGGATGTGGATGAGTGTGCCACAGAGCCCTGTCACAATGGAGGTGTGTGCTTTGAACGATCCAACCAGAGCTACTATGGGACACAGCCAGACTTCCCCCATGAGTTCAGCTACAGCCAAGCTGCTGGTTTCCTCTGTTGGTGCCAACCAGGCTT